AGTAAACTGTCTATTTGGCTAACCAACCCCCCATTCCAATTCTTCTAGAATCTTTAAGAAACATTCTAATGTAGGTTTCATACCTTCATGCAACTAATCCTAAATAAATAATTTAAACATAACTTGAACTCTGGCAATTAGTCATAAACTCTAATGCAGAGAAGCAATGTAAGTAGAAATTGAGACATCAGAAGCCTGACTTGAGAATCCCTTCTCCAGTCCTCTCTGCTGAAAGACTTCAGGATTGACATTGAGTCCTCTGACAACACACAAATCCTGATGGCTCGCAGACGTCATCCTCACTTTAGGGATTGATGATGACCAATGTCAAACGGTGCAATGGAGTGTGTCCTCCGTATGAAGATGGGACTTTGACTACTGTACAACTTGTGACATTCTTACCAAAACAGTCATGGACAAATGCATCTATGGCAGATTGATAAGGATGAAGTCAAGTGGATTTTCCTCTCATTTCTCAGCACAAACCATAGGCCCTATCAGGCAGCTAAGTCCTTACGTCAGAAGTTATGCTAATGAGTCACTCTTGGTGATGGACATTACAGTTCTCCAGTCAAAGTAAATGTGTAGTTCAAGATGGCTCAGGAGTACATTTCAAGGACAATTAGGAATGTATTATAAATGCAAGTCTTGCCAGTGATAGCCAAATCCCATCAATGTACGAAAAGAAATTACTTTATGATGACCCCCCCATCAGAACTTGGATACACATTAATGAATGCCAAGGATTGAAAGATTTAACATATACAGGCATATTATGAAGTTTAACATAGTTTACCAGCACCTACTGATAAAGCCTTGCTGCCTGCCACTTTAAATCCATGCTGTTCAGGATTGTTCACTTAAGTCATATTACTTTAAAATAAAGTCAATTCTGAAGAAGTTTTGGACTTAAAATGTTAACTCTGCCTTCTCTCCACAGATGCTGCCAGATCTGCTGAATTTCTCCAGCAATTTTTTTTCATACTATTTTTCTCGCTCTCCTCAGATGCTGCTCGACCTGCTCCCACATTTTCTTTTTATTTGATCAATGCGCTTCTCAGGTTATCTGCAGCTAAGCAGGACTAACTTCAAATCAAATGGCAGCTGTACTGTTCTAGATTCCCATCAGTTAGCCATGGGGGTTTTATTTAGTTTCAATGTTGAATTTCCAAGTACTCTTCTAGGCCTTATTGTAGGGAACGAAGCCGATGAAGTGGTTCAAGTTTAATTGGTGAGTATTTTGGGGATAGTGATCATTACTATGTAAGTTTCATAAGCACTATGGAAGGAGATAAGGATAGTGCAGAAGTGAACTTAAGACGTTAAGCAAAATTTGGAAGGTAATATCAATATTATTGGACAGGATCAGGTAAACGTAGACTGGGAGCAGCTACTTGCAAGTAAGTCTACAGTGGATAAATGGAAGTCTTTTAAAAGTAGTATCGAGAGAACTCAGGGCTAGCTTGTTCCTCTAAGAGTGAACAGCAAATCCAGGAAACCCTGGATGTCAAGGAATATTGAGAGTTTGAAAAAGAAAGAGGTAAGCATATGTCAGGTACAGCACATTAAAAACAGGGAAAACCTTCTAAAGTATAGAGAGTGTAGGAGATTGCTTAAAGAAATTGGGTGCTAAGAAAGGCCATGAAATATCATCAGCAGATAGGATCAAAGAACTCCAAGGCTTTTCGTAAGTCTATTGAGAGTAAGAGGATTCCCAGGCAAAGACTGGGATCTTTAGACACCAAAAGAGCAACCTGTGCATGGAGCCAGAGGATGTGCGTGTATTCTTAAATGAATACTTCTCATCTGTACTCAGAAGAAAGCACTGTACCTGTAGATTTCAGTTGGAATGATGAGGTATTAGAACATGTTAAGATTAATAAGGTGTAGGTATTAGATATTTCAGTGGGCACACAGGTGATAAATCCCCAGGTCTTGATGAGACGTATCCCAGGCTACAACGGGAGGCAATGCAGAAGATTGCTGGGGCACTGGCAGAGGTATTTAATAATTCACTGGACACGGGTGAAGTGCCAGATTATTGGAGGATAGCTAATGTGGTTCCTTTGCTCAAAAAGAGAGCAGGGTTAGGCCAGGTAATGACAAATCAGTTAGTCTGACATTAATGGTAGGGAAATTACTGAAACAAATTCTGAAGGACAGGATTAATCGAAGCTTGGAAAGGCAGGGATAGTCAGCTTGGATTTGTTAGAGGGAAATCCTGTCTGACTACTTTAACTAAGATAACAAAGTGTAGAGCTGGATGAACACAGCAGGCCAAGCAGCATCAGAGGAGCAGGAAGGCTGACGTTTCGGCCTAGACCCTTCTTCAGAAAA